CATCCCTAGCCCTGTGTAGCCCAGGCTGCCTCAAACTCAGTCCTCATGACTCAGCCTCCTAAGTAGCTGGGATTGGAGTTGTGGGCCACCAAGCTCAGCTAGCATTTTGTTTTTTACGTTTGTTTGGTTCAGTGTGGGTGTGGTGTGGGCATGCTCCAGCCCTGGGCACACTTGTTTTCTTCCTTTATGACCCAAGCTTTCCATAACTTGCTCAGCTTTTTCATTCCTCATTTCTCCAGAAGAATGGCCAGGAGGAGAGGATAAACCATTTGTAGTTTCTCTGTGTAACAGCCCTGGCTGTCCTGGAACTCAGATCCACCTGCATCTGCCTCTGCCTCCCAGGTGCTGGGATGAAAGGCGTGCGCCGCCACCGCCGCCGCCGCCGCCGCCGCCACCACCGCCACCACCACCACCACCACCACGACCACCGCCACCACCTGTCAAAAATCAAACTCTTAACTATTGCACTGCACTGGAGCTTCCTTGCATTGTGAAGGAAGGCATGTGACCCAGACTGTGTAGCCAGAGACGCATGCGTACACACAGCATGTACTAGAGACAAGTGGGGCTTTGACCAAAGCTAGAGAGGACTGCGTTTATGTGTGTGACCTGCTTTTCCCCAGAATGTAGGAGTACTTCCAAGGGAGCTCTGGTCTGTGTACGTTCTGAGCCATTGATGAGTACTGCTTGCCCAGATGATGCAGGGAACATAACAGACACCAAGATAGGTAAACAGTGCGTTCACACTCAGGGCTGCCGTGTGCTGACAGATTGTACGTGCTTTGTGAAGGAAAGGGGTCACGGCATAACTAGATGTTTCCCTGTGAGATAGGTCACCTTTCAGCGTCCATAGCACATACAAATGCATGTACAAGCTGCTTTTTCACTGGCTTTTTTCCCCGAGATACAGGGTTTCTCTGTGTAGCTCTGGCTATCTTAGAACTCTCTTTGTAGACCAGGCTGGCCTCAAACTCCCTGCCTGCCTCTGCCTCCCCCCCTTTCACTATTTAATAAATTTCTTTTTAAATTTACTTTTATTATTTTAAAATGTTTGTGCACTCATTGCTGGTGCCTGCAGAGGCTGGAGGTGGCAGATACCCAAAAGCTGGAGTAACTGGCAGTTTACCCAACCTGGGTGCCGGGAACCGAACTTGGATCCTCCGCAAGAGCAGTGTGCTCCTAACTGCTGACCTCTGTCCAGCCCCAGTGAACTCTCACTCTTAGGCCAGCCTTCGGGTCAATGCTAGACACTGGCGAGTTCCTAATGCCTGGTCCTGGCTGTTGATGTACCAGTTAGAAGTGCTGATCCTCGGGCAGTCCTGTTCACAGAGACCACAGAGGAGCCTTCCCTAGAGCGGGAGATGTGGTTCAAGTCAGGAGCCATCTTCACAGTAGTTAGAAGGAGATACTGAGCAGAACAGAAGGCAAAGATGCCTGGCATGCTGGCTTGGGGACGTTCAAGGACCTAATATGTCCAAGGATTAAGGGGACTTTCCTGTGTCCAAACCCAGACTAACTGGGGTGGCATGGGATGAGTGTAGGGTGGTAGACTGGGAAAGATATGTAGCAGCAGCTTGCCAGTTGTGGGAC